GAATCATAAGTATTATTGAAATCAATCATTTGTTTTTGTAAATAATAAATACATAATGATCCTGCATAATTAATGATGAAATAATTAACATATGCCTCTTATATAAAAACAAGTTCAAAGATGTGCTATTAACTAGTGTCGCACAGTCGCACAAGCAATCGCGTTAGTTGGGTTTCAGAATCTCACTTAAAGAATATTATTAAAAATTGAAAAAAAAAGGTGTAAATGCAAAAACGTAAAATAAAAATCATTTAAAATATCTGCAAATTTGCTAATATTAAGACTTTGTCAACTAATAAAATAAAATTTACTATCGTTGGGGTTGACATGGACTCTAATAAAAAAGCCACGGTCATTGATGTCGAATCTGAAGATGACATCGTTATTTCTGGCATCGCCGGTAGATTTCCTAAATCGGACAATATTAGACAGCTTCAAGAGAATCTATTTAACAAAGTGGATCTTGGAACAGATGAGGAACGACGATGGAATCATGGTAATATCTTCTTTGTTCTATACAAATAAAAAATTATATAAAAAATATTCCATAGAAACATAAGTATAAAATTACTGTTCTTTTTAAATTTTTTATTAATTGTCATCATTTCTTTTTTATAAAAACTTCTATATATAATAGTTGAAACGAAAATAACTGTTCACTTATTATATACGGTTTAATATACAGGTCACCCAGATCTACCTCAACGTATGGGAATGATTGACAATTGCGAGAAATTCGATGCAGATTATTTTAAAATACCTTTCAACGAAGTCCATCCTATGGATCCTATGAGTAGGATGCTCATGGAGCATACATATGAAGCTATCGTTGACGCAGGAATAAATCCGAAAGATTTATCTGGAACGAATACTGGAATTTTCATCGCAATGTGCTTTTCGGAGTCGGAGAAGACTTGGTATTTTGAAAAACCACAGGTACGAAAAATCACTCGATCAAGCAAGAACATTGAACGAGCTTATAGCATAAATATTTTGATAAATGACACCAATATATCTCTTTTATTGTAAAAAAATGTACTTGTTTGTAAATCAGCTCGTACAATGCTCATACAAGAAACATTTAAATTCTCTAAACAATCTACGTATACACATTAGATAGCTGGCGGTGCAGCTTTTGGATGTTTCAAGCCTGTGTACGCAAATCGGATGTCTCACTGGTTAAATATAACAGGCCCATCTTGCATTATCGATTCCGCCTGCAGCTCAGGTCTCTTCGCTTTAGAGTCCGCTTATAGAAGTATTCGCTCAGGGCAGTGTGACGCCGCTATTGTCGGCGGTGTAAATCTCTGCCTGCATCCTTATGTAGCTTTGCAGTTTGCAAGACTTGGTATTATACTTATTGAAATATTAATTTAGAATATAAAAGATAATTGAAAAAAATAAAAATTATTATAATCTAAATAATTTGGAATATATATAAATACATATCTAAATTAAATTTTATAACATAAATTTACAATTTCAGGAATTTTAGCACCTGACGGATTCTGCAAACCTTTTACCAACGATGCAAACGGTTACATGCGTAGCGAAACAATCGGAGTCGCATTTTTACAAAAAGCAAAGGTGGCTAAGAGAATTTATGCAACCGTCGTTTACGGAAAAACTAATTGCGACGGATACAAGGAACAAGGCATTACTTTCCCGTCGAGCAAAATGCAACAAACTTTACTTGAAGAGTTTTACAAGGAATGCGGTATTTCGCCGACTTGCTTGGGCTATATGGAGGCTCACGGCACCGGCACTTATGTTGGCGATCCAGAAGAAATTAATGCACTCGAGCAAGTTTTCTGCAAGAACAGGCAAACTCCTCTATTAATCGGTTCTATCAAATCAAACCTGGGCCATTCTGAAGCTGCTAGTGCCATGTGTCAAATTGCAAAGGTAATAATAATTATTATATGCATTATAATAGTAACCGTCAATTTTTATGATCGTAGATTTGCGAAATTTTTATACTTTACAAACAAAAATTTGTATTACATTTCTTTCGCTGCTAAATCATTAATAGTATCATGATAAAAAAATAAAAAACATTCATCAGTTAATAAATAACTTAATAAAAAAATAATAAGCCCAAGTTAGCATTTAATTAACTTTTCGTAAGGTGATAATTGCAATGGAAACTGGCTTAATACCGCCAAATATAAACTTCACACAAATACGGAAAGGAGTTAAGGCTTTTGAAGAGGGAAGTATACGCGTGGTGACTAACACAACACCGTGGACTTCTGGATTTATGGGCATCAATTCGTTTGGTTTTGGTGGAGCCAATTGTCACATCTTGTTGCGAAATAACACAAAAGAAAAGATCAATAAAGGAGCGCCGAATGATAATCTGCCCAGACTCGTTGTCCTGTCTGGACGTACCGAACAAGCAGTTGAATCATTTCTAAATGAGGTATTAAAAATTTTGTGATTACACAGTCAATAAAAGCACACTTACACCGCAAAAATTTATATGTTAGATCGAGAACCGGCCGATAGACGTCGAATATGTACGGCTATTGCATGATCTTTACGCTGACGAGATGAAAAATCATCCTTACAGAGGATACGTGATTGTCGAATCTAAAACGCCGATCAAAGCGGCAAAAGAAATACAATATTATTCAGGTGAAAAAAAACCGATTTGTTTTGTGTTCTCTGGAATTGGATCGCAATGGATTGGCATGGGTACGCATCCTTTTTTGTATATGTTAGAGAAGTGATTGCTTGCAATTAAACTCGAATTTACATGTTAACAGGTCAAGCGCTACTGCGATTCCCAATATTTTCCAAAACCATAGAAAAATGCGATATCATTTTAAAAATGCATGGAATATATATCATTGACATATTAACGAGCAAACATGAAGATATTTTTCACGATATATTGAATTCACTTGTGGCCATCACCGTAATGCAGGTGATAAATGGTTTCTACGAATTATATGCGCGCAATTTCTGTAAATGTTTCTTGATAATTATAGGAAGAAATATTTTATTCTTTTTTAGGTGGGATTAATCGATCTCTTAAGATCCGTAAATATCGTACCAGATTATGTCGTTGGTCACTCAATTGGTGAACTCTGCTGCGCGTATGCGACCGGTAATTTCACCCTTGAACAAGTGATTTTATCTTCGTATTACATAGGATTGGGATTGAAGGAAACAAAAAAAATTAACTGCACGATGGCGAATATCGGTCTCAGTTATGAGAATGTGAAGAACATATGCCCACCGGATATCGAAGTAATCTACAGCAACAGTCCAAATACTTGCTCCATAAGCGGTCTAAAAAAATCAGTAAAAGCGTTTACAAAACAATTAGAGGTATTTTTATATTTCATTTAGATATTTTTTAAATATACGTATAATTAACTTAAACAAGTTATATTTTTTATATAATTTGCAGGCCAATAATGTATTTACTGAGGTAGTCAACTGCTGCGATATTCCTCTACATACTCGTTATCTCCTCCCCGCGAGAGCCACGATTCTAGCTTACCTAAATCGAATAATGCCGCAAACAATGACTCCCAATCAGATATGGCAAAGTTTATTTTGCAGCGAAAAATTATCCTGCGCTGAATATTTCACGAATAATCTATTGAGTCCTGTATTTTTCGATAAAACCGCGCAATTAATTCCCAGAAACGCAGTGACTCTTGAAATCGCGCCGTATGCTATTCTTCAAAGTGTTACGAAAGAACTGTTCCACACAACCAGCATCACGTTACTTCAGCGTAATCACGAAGATAACGTCAAAATATTTTTGGAAGGTCTAGGAAAAATGTACAACAATGGCTTGCAACCGCAATTAGCAAATCTATATCCGACCGTAAAATTTCCTGTTAGTCGTTCCACGCCGATGATCTCGCCGTCAATCAAGTATGTCGAACACATTATTCATTTGTTAAACATGATAAAATACAAAATTATTTTTTGGGTAAGAAATTATTATTTTTTATTACCAGATGGGACCATTCTAAAGATTGGTACTTAACATGTTATAAAATGCTGACGAAACTCTCTGTCGGAGAAAGAATGGTTGAAATTGCGCGAAATGACGAAGAATACGAATATATGAGCGGTCATGTGATTGACGGAAGACAGTTATTGCCGGCTACTGGATATCTCATGCTAGTTTGGCAAACAATGGGTTTGCTGAAAAGTCTATCGTATACCGATATGCCGATCGTATTTGAGAATGTCAAGTTCATTCGGGCAACGCACGTTCCAAAACAAGGACCCGTGTATCTAAGAATAATTGTGCAGAAAGGTAGATTTTATTTTAAAATAGAATTTTTCAATAAGCTACTTTATTTGCTGCATTCAGAATGACAATACTCAATTTATGTGATAAAAAGAAATATTCAAGATTATTTATTGCAGCAACTGGAAAGTTTGAAGTCATCGAAGGAGATAATGCCGTCGTCACTGGCACTGTGCGTGAACCGACAAATATTGCCGAAGAAAAGTTACCGAGTCATCTGTTAAATCAAGAGAACGACAATGAGGAGGAAGTAATGAAAACAAAAGATATCTACAAAGAACTCAGATTACGAGGATATCAATACGCCGGCATGTTTCGAGGTTTGAAGAGTTCGTCGACTACGGGAAAACAAGGGCACATAGCTTGGATGTACAATTGGGTAACATTTATGGATAATATGCTGCAAATGAAAATCCTCGGGATAGACACGAGGAGTCTTCACGTTCCCACGGGAATACAAAAGTTGGTGATCGATACGAAATTTCACATACAGCAAGTACGGAACGCAGCAGCTAACGATTATCGTAAGTTTGTCGACTTATTTTCTTTCTATCAGCTTTTTAATATTAATTTTTTAATGTATCTTTAAATATTGTAACTAATTTTCAAATAAAGAAATTTGTTTAACGTAAAAGAAGTTTAAGTATAAAAAAATACAATATTTATAAATATCTTTTTAGAGCTTCCTGTGCGTGTGTACAAAACCTTCGACGCGGTAGTATCCGGCGGTGTAGAAATTCGCGGAATCAAGGCTACTTCCATATTTCGCCGAAAAACAGCGGGGGAGCCCGTTCTCGAAGAATACAGATTCATAGCTCATCGCGACGGAGCCGAGGTTTCTCTACAAGAAGCCGTGATGCTGTCGACGCATCTCGCTCTGGAGTATCATCAAGTGATAAAAGTAAATATTATCGAATTGATCGAAGATGATGACAAAGTAGAAACAAATGAAATAGCATCGCCACTGTTTATTGATATCTTGGGTGATCTACCGTTGCTTCAACCAAACATTACTCTGGTAACCAGAACCGATCGCTTCGATTGCGTTACTCTTCCTTCGAAAATCACAGTCTCGCAATCGAAGAAGTTGTCGAATGACGATAAGACAATATTAATCATAGGATACGATTTGTTCACGAAGAATAAGAGCAAAACCTTAAAAGAAATTTTGCCGGCGTTACAAAACAATGGATTCTTATTGACACGAGAACAGTCCTTCACGAAAGACGACATTGCGACTGCCGAAAAGTACGATTTAGCAGTAGTACTTGAGAAACGCTCGCAGAAAGAGCACTTTATACTGTTAAAGAAGACAGAACAGTCGACGAGGAAAACTAAAGTTATTCACGTGAACAATTACGAGTTCTCTTGGTTAGAGCAGCTTAAATCGATCTTGAACGCGAAGAACGAGTCAAGAAACGCTGCAAAAATAATTTTAGTCAGCGAGAAAGATTCGGAATGCGGCTTGTTGGGCCTCGTCAATTGCTTGAGAAGAGAACCAAACGGCGAATCGATCAGAGGAGTGTTTATTCAAGACGAAACTGCACCGGAGTTTTCTTTGCACGAGCCATTATACGCGGAGCAACTCCGGATCGATCTTATTATAAATGTCTTGCGTCCGGATAAAACATGGGGTTCATACAGACATCTTCCGTTAGCGCCGCTGACACCGAAGCTCGTATACCACGCATTTGCCAATCAATTGGTATAAATGTTTCATAAATAAATAAAAAAAGTTATCCTTACAGTTCTGTCATAATAAAAGATATTTCTCAATTAGGTGAGCGGTGATTTGAGTTCATTTCGCTGGATTGAAGGCCCGATTACCCCGGATTATAAGGAGAATAATCTCGTTCACATAGCTTACTCGTCTATCAATTTCAAAGATGTAATGATAGCGTCCGGCAAACTGGCGGGAGATGGTTTCTACTTAACGCGCGGACGATTCGAGGATTGTATGATGGGTATGGAATATGTCGGCGTCGATAATACTGGACAAAGAGTGATGGGAATTTGGGAAAACAGGTACATTACTGTCATGCAATCATTTAAAAGTATACTGTTTATACAACAAAATTGACGCACTTTAAAGCAAGCTTTTCTATTGAATAAATTGATATATTTTGTGTTTATATATTGTATGTGCATGTGTGATAAGAAGATAAAAAATAGTTAAAAAATTATTTATTTAAAAAAATTTATATCTCAAATGTTGCAAACTTTGTAATGCAACTTGCAATATTTTGTAAAGCCAAGAAAAACGTAAAATTATTTTATTGGAATGCATAAATATTTTATAAACAGTATTATTGTATTTATTATATTTACTGTAAAACCTACAAGTTATCTATCCTAAATAATCCTGTTTTTTCTCTTTAGATATAAAAAAATTTTTAATTCTTTAATTCATAGATGTATATCAAATATGTGCATATCCTACAAAAACTTATGCTGGAACGTTCCCGACGAGTGGAGCATGGAAGACGCTGCAACGGTTCCGTGTGCTTACGGCACGTGCTGTTACGGATTAATCGTCAAAGCGAATATGAAAAAGAGCGACACGATACTCATCCACTCCGGTACCGGTGCCGTGGGACAAGCTGCGATTCATCTTGCGCATCACAAAGGTTGCGAGATATTCACCACCGTTGGCACTCCGGAAAAGCGAAAATTTATCAGAGACACGTTCCCGTTCATCCCAGAGAATCACATTGGAAATTCGCGCGACAACAGTTTTGAGCAAATGATACTTAGTCAGACCAACGGCCGTGGCGTGGACATTGTATTGAACTCGCTCGCCGAAGAAAAACTCCAGACGTCCATCCGTTGCCTCGCGAAGGGCGGGCGTTTTCTGGAAATCGGCAAATTCGATTTTATGGCCAATAATTTGTTGAATCTGTCCATCCTTTCGAAAGGAATTTCATTTTACAGCGTTATGTTGGATAATATGTTCACAGCTCCGGAAAAACTAAAAGAACAATTGCACAAGGTAGTGACCATAAATCTTGCGAATAAAGCTATTCAACCGATTGCCAGGAAGATTTTCGAAAAGGATGAAGTGGAAGCTGCATTCAGATACATGGCAGCTGGAAAGCATATAGGAAAGGTAGGTCAATTTAGCTGGAATTAATTGTGGCTTAATACGTGAGATCAGTTAAGAATAAAACATAATACATCAAATAAAAACTGAGTTAAATAAGTTAACGTACTTTTAGATAATCATAAAAATGCACGAAGATGGTGAATCTATGAACGCACCCATTCTTGCACTTCCACGCTATTACTGTCTATCGAACAAATCGTACATCATCTTAGGCGGGTTGGGTGGCTTTGGCTTAGAATTAGCCGACTGGCTAATTGTTCGTGGTGCTCAGAATCTGGTGTTCATCTCGCGCGCTGGAGTAAAGAACGGATATCAGCAGATGAAGATCGATCTATGGAAATCTTATGGAGTGAAAGTGTTAATCATATCGGACGTCGACGTATCGAAAGTCAAAGATTGCGAATATATGCTGAAATCGGCGGAGAAACTGGCGCCGGTGGACGCTATATTCAATCTGGCTGTGGTATTGAATGATAAAATTTGTCCGAATCAAACTGTAGAGACGTTCCAAGAGCCCTTCAAAGCGAAAGCTTGGGCCACGAAGAACTTGGATCATTTGACCAGAAAAATATGTCCTCAGCTTCGTCATTTTGTTGTGTTCTCTTCGGTATCTTGCGGTAGAGGAAATGCCGGACAGACCAATTACGGCATGGCAAATTCCATCATGGAAAGAATTTGCGAGAGAAGAGTGCAAGAGGGTCTGCACGGACTAGCGGTTCAATGGGGTGCGATCGGCGATGTCGGCCTCGTGGCTGATATGCAAGACAACGACAAAGAAATGGTTATCGGCGGCACTTTGCAGCAAAAGATAACTTCCTGCATCTCGAAACTCGAGGACTTTTTGTTACAAAAACAGCCTATAGTGGCGAGCATGGTTGTAGCCGAGAAGCGGTTGATCACTTACGGCGCATCCAGTATTATCGAAACTGTGGCCAATATTATGAGTAAGTTAATAACATTAAAAAAATTAAACAATAATATCAAAATTAGACAATAATATACAAAAATTTAATCAGTTTATTTGAACTCGAATTCATTTGATAAAAGAGATCAATGTGTTTAATTAAATGTGATTAGAATATTTAATATAAACTAAATAATTAAAACTAAATACAAAACATTAATTAAATATAGATCTGAAGGACATGAGTACCGTGGCTCATCACATGCCTTTGTCCGAGCTTGGAATGGACTCGATGATGGCCGTGGAAATTAAACAGACTTTGGAACGGGAGTATGAGATTTTCCTTACCGCGCAGGATATTCGTAATCTCAATTTCGCTAAGCTCGCCAAAATGTTCGAAAAAGATGTGAAGAACGACGAACTCACCGATATAACAGGAATGAAATTGCTCATTCGCATATCAGGCGAAGATCAATTGATACCCGATGTTTGTATAAAGCTTCCGACGAAAGAAAGCACGACGGAAAGCGAAATATTCCTATTGCCAGGTATAGAGGGTTGTGGAAGCGTCTTTGATTTGCTGGTGCCAAAACTCGAAGGTTCAGCAACGTGCCTGCAACACAACATGTATAACATTGGCACAGACTGTACATCAATAAAAGATATCACTAATAGCCTGTTACAGGTAAATTCTTCACTTAATTAACAACTGGATTTTATAATGTAGAAAGAAGGAAACAGGTTATGATACAATAAAATACTGCATATCAGAATACAATCATAACAAGATAGCAGTTCAAGATATTTTTAGTCCCATTTTTTGTATGTTTAGTTTTTTTATATTTTATTGTTTTTATGTGTTTTCAGCACATTTTGAGCAGAGAACAAAAATTGCCACAAAATTTTGTACTAGTCGGCTATTCGTATGGATCGATAATTGCAATTGAATTATCGCGGAAGTTAGAAGAAATGAATCTCAAAGGCCGATTGATACTCATCGATGGAGCACCCGAGCACATGAAGGCAATGGCTAATGTATATTATCCTTTCACTACGTTAAATGAATTCCAGAATAATGTTCTTTTGGGTATAATGGATTTGTTTCAACCAGCAGTTAGTGGAAAGGTATATCATCGTAGATGATGTTCTTAAATGATGGATTTTTCAGCAAAAATCACAAATCTAATTGTTTTAGTTTCTGTTGGAGTTAAACAAATGTACTAATACTAATTGGGACGAAAAGATAGAAATTTTTTTAAAACATGCCTCTTCGGCTTATTCACAAGTAATGATTAACAAAAGAAAAGCCTTGTGCACAACAATATATAAGCATTTGATCGGTCTTCATGAATACGATGTGACACAAGTACCGAAGATCGAATCACCTATAATACTTCTGAAGCCTACGACACATTCATTACTTTTTCCTCAAGAAGATTATGGTCTGCACAAGGTAATTGAAGTATATAATAAAATAATTTATACAGCAGAACAGTTGTAATTAATATAAAATTACTTTCAGATTACTAAAGGAAAGATAGAAATACACTATGTTGAAGGCACTCACCTTACAATAATGGACAATGAGAAAGTTGTTGCTGCAATAAATGAAGCAATTAATTCCATCGAACCTATTCAAAAGCATGCAAATATAATAGGTAATAATAATATGACATTGGTTCAAAATATCCGTACTAGAACATAAAAGTTAATGTGCAATTTTAAATACTATATGTATACACATATACACTATATATACACAAAATCTATATATTCAGTTTTATAAGATTTTATAAAACACAACGTTAATATATAATTGTTTCCTTAAACTATGTATATGTTAAAAATAATATAAGCAGAAATTATTTGTTTCAAGTCACAAATAAAAATATAACCTTTTTCCTAAAATTAACACAATTTTGTTTTTTCTTTCAATACATCGTTTCCATATAGTGAAGCGAGTTTAATTATAATATTAAATTGTTTTATGACTTTATTGCCGTTCGTCAAAATACTAAAAGCCACTTTAATTACTTGACAAAATTTAACTCATAGCAAACTATTATATAATCACGCAGACCTTCAAAAAACTTATGATTTTAAGATATGTATATAACATGAGACTGATTAAAATTTCTTTATATCGTTGTGCTTGTATTTAATTAAAATTAGTGCGTATATGTGTGCACCCGTATTTTATGAATCAATCGTGTATTTTTACTCTGTTTTGCAGTGAATTTTTTTATGCGTACGCACGTAGCGTGCGTGAATCCTCTTGTGGCAGGTAGCGTATAAATGTTTCCACGTGCTCGATCGATTGCAAACTATTCTTTCACATCGCAATACACGTGGCGAAAATACAACCAGTGCTGCGCATTCCGTAATTTCATTTCCGCACAGCGTTTTTCCGTGACCTTGTTGTCAATGTGCTACCAAACTCGCGTTAGTCGAAATTCAGCAGGATGCCAACTAGGCGCCAGTCTGAGAGACAGCTTAAGTAATTCAACGCTCTCATGCAGGTGTGCGTCAAGTAATCGATATTATTATCATGTGTTAAACGCTTATGTACCTAAACATGGCACTTATTTCGATTGCAGTAAGACGACATTGTTTTCGCTTGATCAGTTTTAGTCTAACTTTTTTGTATTTTGTAAAGTATTAAATTTGTGTGCACATATCAATGCCATATTGTAGCAGAGAAAAATAGATTTTCCTTGTATCAAGTGTAGTTATTGTTTGATGTACGTTCAAAAACGTCACCGCAACGTTCATAAATCTACGGAAATGCCAACAATGTAATGAAATGAGCAGCGCGGTGTACGGGGGTTAATAGCGATCAATTTAACGAATTCTCACCATAGAAACTCCGTTTTCTATCGATTTAACATCACCATCGCGTACTAAAAATAAATAGTATAAAAATATATAATAATACCTATGATATGCCGCGTGACTTTGCGTAAATACGGAATGACTAAATAAAATTTAGCAATGGAAAAAAATATGTGTCTACGCGCTTACGCATTGTATTGCATATATATATATATATGTCTACATATAAGAAAATATACGGAGCACATAATAATTTTTTAAAATTATTAACCGATAAACAAATTTGAAGACAGAGATAAGTTACTCCCTCGCCAGAAACAAAGTAACGAAACCGTAAGCGCGGTTTTAAACACGCCAAACTTAAAACAATATTTCCGCGTACCAGAAAGTCAAACAAACCGTGAAACCAGATCGTCGTAACAACGCGAAAAAAAATGCGCACAAAAAATAGATTACGGACGTGTCCGGCACTGTGTCATAATTGATCGATAGGTCGAGCAAGCAGTCGTAAAATTGTCCGATTCAATGTTAGCTCTTTATTCTGAATTTTGTGCTGCTTGCTGAAACAATTAACATTTTAATTTAAAAATTTTGGAGTATTCAATGTAATACAGTTAACGTAAGACTTGAAGAGGACAATACCCTCTAATTGCGCGAATGCTTAAAATGGCATAACGGGCAATAACGGTAATTATATTTTCAGTAGTCGGAATGGAAATAGCTTTGTTCACACATATGAATAGATTCTCCAACTTTCACGAGCCTCGCTCACGTGATCGCGTGATAAGACATTTCTTTTTCAGTCCTTTGTGTTGTCCTTCGTCTTTATTATAGAATTTATTATGATCGGCTCGTCCTCAACGACGTCGTGACGTCGTCGATGAGTTACTTGCAGTTACGAATTAAGAAGGAACCAATTGTGTTGTGAGACGTTTATGTTACGAGTTTATGTTATGTTTATGTTACGGGCTTTTACGCTTTTATGAACTCTTACGAACGTAATCGTTCGTATTTGAAATAGTATTACGTTTTGAATTAGTGAACACTCGGTTACGAACTTATCAAAATAAGAGAAAGACAACGTGTTGAGATGAATACGCTTACGGCATTGGAGCTGAAAGAAAAATTGAAAGAAAAAAATCTGTCAGCATCCGGAACGAATATTGAGTTATTTAAACGACTATTAGAAGCAGGAGTTTCGCCAGACGAGCTTCGTGCGATTGGACACACCGCAAACGAGATGTATGATTCGCAATCCGACGAGCGTCAACAGGGGGCGGCGAGCATTCAATCTGCCATGTCTATCCATGAGATCAAACTTTTGCGAAAGGAGAGGGACTAAGAAAAAATAAAGAAAATATTTGCATCTACGTTATTGCGTAACAATATTTTTCAGAGTGTTATTAAAGTAGTAATATTTAAGAAATAAAATAACACTAGCAATGACATAAGCATGTAAATTTATGGACGTTTAGCTTCAAGCTGGAAGTAAATGTACGCACGTGCGCAATCTAATGTAAAATATCATAGATTTGCAATCGACTGTTAACTTAAGAAAAATTGCAAGACAAAGAACAAGACTCACCCGCAGCCCTGATATTTCGCGGATCGCACGAGGTCGTGCGACTTAATTTGCATTATTCCTGTTAGTAGAGTTTGATAGTTCCTGATTTTCACTTTCTCTTATCTTAGCAACTGCTAAAAGAAAATCTAGCTATAAATTTCGAAGTTTACGCCTACAATAAGATAATAATTATCGATAAGTTATAATCCAAATTTTGAATTAAAAAATCTTAAAAATAAGAAATTACATAGACATCATAGAAAATGTATATAAAAAGCAAAAGTGTAAGAATGGTCATTTTATAAACGTAACAATGTGTGACTTTAAATGAAGTAAAATTGTCGAAAAATAATTTTGTCAATTTTTATGACAAAAACTGATTAATGTAATTTATCTCAAGAATATAGGATGTTGTTTACGTAACTTTGATGCTTCGGTCGCAGATTGCAGCACTTTGCAACTATAGCAATTTCATGAAAGTCTGAATAAGATAATTTTAAAAATAATTTTACTACAAAGCCACACAATTTATAAGTACAATATTGATAGAAAATATTATCTACTTTAAAAACAATTTTAGAAAATAATGTATAAATTCAATATCAAAGATTGTATTATAATGCTAGTTAGTTTTAATACAATGTAACTGATTAAACATCCAATTAAAGTTATGCTATAAATCAGAGATGGGAATTAGCAACTTTCGGCTCAATTTTCTGATTGACGCCTCCTGCCCCCTCCTTGCCGCTCGCTTGCTAGCAACGAGTCAAACGCGCTATCAACGCGCGTAACTAAGGTGCGCGATACTCAGCCTCAGGAATGTCCATATCACAAATACAACAAGATAATAAGTATGGAACAACAGATTTCCACATCACCTGTGAGGTACTATTGTTGAAGAACGTGTCAATAATAGTACAGACGTATTGTATATTTTTAACTTTTCATGTTAGAATTCAATACGATTGCAACTCAATAATATGATTCTTAACTTTTCGACTTCCTTTTAAGCAATTTTTTGGATAAAATAGTTATTATAATGACTATCTTTTTTACCTCACATTGAAAACCCATTAGAATATCTTTTCTTACAAAGCAAAAATAGTCTTCACTTATTATATTTTCGTCTCAAAAGAATGTTTAATAGCAATATTACGCACGATTGGAAGGAATGCACTACAGTTAAAAAACCAATTTTTGATAAAACACAGAGGCGAATTTCCCATTAGGCTGGATAGGCTATAGCCTTGGGCGGCAGATTTTAGGGGGCGGCAAATTTTTAATTTTTGAATTAAAAAAAAATTATTAACACTCGATTTATATTCAAAATACATTCTGATTTTCATCAAAAGAGTCATAATATAAATATGTTCGTGATCATTACTGTTAAAGAGTGTATAAAGTGCTATTTTTTCCGGCGTTTTCGGCGAAATTTATTTCCCGTTTTTCTCCTCCAATTCTCAACTAATTTTGCTGAAATTTTTTCTTTAAGTTTTTTAATATTAAAAATTTTTTACGTTTTTTACATTTCTGGCTTTATATGCTCAGGGTAACATTAAATATCATAAAAAAAATGTCAACAAAATCGGTTGAGAATTGGAGGAGAAAAACTGGAAACGCGCGCGCGCGAGAGAGAATGTGTTATTTATTATTATTCAAAGAATCCTATATATAAGATACTTGTTTCCTATTTTATTATCTATTTCTTATTTAATTAATAAAAAAATTTCCCCTTGCTCCACTGTCATTAAAGGGCGGCAAATTTGATTCAGCGTAGGAGCGGCAGAAACCGAATTCCGTCCCTGATAAAAAATTAACATAAAATATTTTTGAACAAAATAATTTTCTCT